CTTTTAAAGGGGCGCCTGGGTGGCTTAGTCAGTTAAGCGTCCGACTTTCGCTTAGGTCGTGATCTCACGGTTCGTGGGTTTGGGCCCTGCGTCGGGCTCTGTGCCGACTGCCAGCTCAGCGCGTGGAGCCTCTTTTAGTCTGTGACTCCCTCTCTCTCTGACCCTCCCCTGCTCACGCTCTCTCTCTCTCTCTCTCTCCTAGAAATAAAAAAGAAAAAAAAAATTAAAAAAAAAAAAAAAGATAGGAAGAATTGCTTTACCAAGTATCCAGTCTTACTATAAATGTAATTAGGATAATATATCATTGAAAGAAGTATAAAAAATAGACTTGTACAATAAAATAGAGAGCCAGATGACAGACCTATACATATATATACATGATGTATGACCAGTGGAAATTGTAGGGAAAGACCAGCCTTTTTTATTTTTTTTTAATGTTTTTATTTTTGAGAAAGAGAGGATGAGTCAGGGAGGGACAGAGAGAGAGAGAGGGAGACACAGAATCTGAAGCAGGCTCAAGGTTGTGAGCTGTCAGCAGAGAGCCGAATGTGGGGTTCGAACTCATGAACTACGAGATCATGACCTGAGCCGAAGCCAGATACTTAACCAACTGAGCCTCAAGGTGCCCTAAGAACAGCCTTTTAAATTAAACTATGCTAGAAAATTTGGTATTCATATAGAAAAAGATTTTAAGAAAAATCCCTACCTCATACCACACAGAAAAATCATTTCCAAAAATATTATAAATATACATATATTTTAGTATATGTGCTGCCAAAGCGAGCACACAAATATACATATATTTTACATATATGTGTAAAAAGGCAAAAATTCTAGAAGAGAGTATAAGAGGTTATCTTTATGATCTTTCGGTTGGAAAAATAGTCTTGGACACAATACACTAGCCATAAAAGAACAAATTGATAAATTATTATTACATTAAAACTGATAACTTTACATCGACACCATCTAGAGAGTAGAAGACATTTGAGACACATAACCAACAGAGGGTTGTATCCAGAATATATGAAGAACTTGTCAATCAGTAAGAAAAAGACAGCCCAGTAGAACCATGCGTAGGAGATGTAAGGATTTCAAAAGAGGATATTCACTAACCAATAACCTTAAAAAAAGTTGCTCACCATCATTAATTAGAAAATGCTGGGGTGCCTGGGTGGCTTAGTCGGTTAAGCGTCCGACTTTCGCTTGGGTCATGATCTCGCGGTTCGTGGGTTCGAGCCCCGCGTCGGGCTCTGTGCTGACTGCCAGCTCAGAGCCTGGAGCCTGTTTCAGAGTCTGTCACTCCCTCTCTCTCTGACCCTCCCCTGCTCACGCTGTCTCTCTCTCTCCTAGAAATAAATAAAACATTAAAAAATTTAAAAAAAAAAAAAAGAAAAAGAAAATGCAGTTTACAACCACAGTGAGCTACACCTGCATACCCACCCAAATGGCTAACAGTAAAAAAGACTGACAATATAAAGTGCTGACAGGGTGTGGAGCAGTGGCAACTTTGATCCATAGCTGGAAGGAATATAAATACTCATAGAACCAATTTGGAGTGCAGTTTTTGGCATTACCTTCTAAAGCCAAATGTATGTATACCCTCATCCAGTAATCTCATTCCTAGGGGTGCATCAGTTTACATGCATCGAGGTATTTGCACATCCAGAAACTAGTACAAAGATGTTCATAGCAGCATTGTTTGTAATAGCCAAGAAGTAGGAACTGGACATTAGCAGTAGAATGGATTCATAAATTATGATATATTCATACAATGGAATAAAGCAGGGGTTGTTAACAGACTGTAAATATTTTAGCTTTACAGGCCACATACAATGTCATATATTCTTACTGTTTGTTGTTTGTTTCCAACACTTTAAAAATGTAAAGGGGCGTCTGGGTGGCTCAGTTGGTTAAGCATCCGACTTCGGCTCAGGTCATGATCTGACGTTTTGTGAGTTCGAGCCCCACATCAGGCTCTGTGCTGACAGCTCAGAGCCTGGAGCCTGCTTCAGATTCTGTGTCTCCCTCTCTCTCTGCCCCTCCCCTGCTTGCACTGTGTCTCTCTATCTCTCTCAAAAATAAATAAACCTTTTAAAAAATGTAAAAACTGTTCTTAGCTTGAAAGCCATACCAAAACAGGCTGAGGCCTTTGGCCCAGGAGTGCAGAAAATGAATTAATCCTAGTTATATGCAACAACTTGGGTACAAGAATCTTGAGCAAAGACAGTTCAGACACAAAAAATAGAAATACTATATGATTCTATACATAAAGTCTTAAAAGCAGACAAACTAGTTTTTAAGGTCCATATTTAGATGGCAACAGCCAATGCAAAATAAGAAAAGTGGTTACGTTGGATGAGAAGTTCTGGCAATGTTATATTTTTTGGCCAGATGACTATTCACTTTGTGGTAGATCATTGAACTGTACACTTTGGTGTTGGAGTTGTGCAGGGTTTCCTTGTTTGTTTTACACTTTATGTTATTCTTCACAATAAAAAAAGATAAAAAATATTTGCTTTATAAATGAATGTTCAGTAAACCTTCATCACCCCAGCTATTCTGGCCCCTTCCTCTCAGTTGACAAACATACTCAAGTGTTTGGAAAAATCAACCCTTGTTTTTGACCTGGCCTTCCTTTCATATTTTTGCACCATCTTCCTACATCCTTTCAATACAGACCCTCTTTTTTTTTTTTTATAGTTTTTTTTTTGAGACAGAGAGAGACAGAGCACAAGTGGGGTAGGGGCAGAGAGAGGGGAAGACATAGAATCCAAAACAGGCTCCAGGCTCTGAGCTATCAGCACAGAGCCTGACGCAGGGCTCGAACCCACGAATGATGAGATCGTGCCCTGAGCCGAAGTTGGATGCTTAACCGACTGAGCCACCCAGGCACCCCCACGCAAACCCTCTTTAAAGAGTAGTCTGTCCTTTCTGTTACCATTTTTTGTCTGCTTTTATTCCACAGCCTGTTTGTCGTTCATTTCCACCACTCTATTGCAACTCTTCTTATTATGGTCACCAGTAATCTGGTTGCTTAAATCAGTGGCAGATTGTTAGGAAGGCAACTCTGTACCATTTGTTCACACAGTTCATTCAACAGATGGTTGAGGTCTTGCTACATATACTTAGGATGCAGTGTTAATAAGATTGACAAGGTCTTCTCTGGTCTCACAGAGTTTGTTTGCATTCTAGTTGGGGAGACAAGGAATTAGTAGTTAAATACATATATTAGTTTCAGATAGTAATAGGAGCAATAGGGATAATAAACCAGAATATTCTTTCAGTGTGAAGGAAGAGGCAGGGGAGGAGTCAATTTAGGTGAGGCAGCTACGAAGGGTCTCTCTCTGAGGAAAATTTGACACTATTGGCACTTTTCTCCCCACTTAGATTTTCCTACTGTCATCTGTTTCTCCTACCTCCCTAATGGTTCTTTTGATCTCTTGCTTGACCATTCCTTCTCTGCCTGCTCTTCTCCTTAATTATGAAAATTGTCTAATGTGATTTCCATAAATAGAATTAATACAGTGAACACACATATACCAACCACCCACATTCAATAGTCATCAAGATTTGGCCACATTTGCTTCATCTATTCCTTTTTTCTTTCTCTTCTTTAGTGAAATATTTTAAGCATTCCATACATATCATTTGTCATCGGCTTAAGTTTGCATTGCTTAACAGTGAGAATGTTTTCTTTCATAACCACACCTAACAAAACATTGCTAAGGTATCTGCTAATACTAATTCTTAACCTGATTTTTCATATATTCTCCAGAACTTTGTCTTTACAGCCCCAAATCACATCTGATCATTTCATTTGGTTGTATTTCTTTAGCTTCCATTCTTCTAAAACAGTCTACCCCTGTTTTTTTCCTACCTTTTACTTGTAGAAGAAACCACGACAGTTTTATAGAATTTCACTTTCTGAATTTATCTTGTCAAAAGACAACCTCTCAGTATATGAAACAAAAAGCATCAAACTGATCCTGTTGCTTACTCTAGTAAGGTAGAGTGATTTTGATCTAATAGCGTATGTAGGTGGCACAGACCAGTGTTCTTACAGAGGGTTTTGGGAAGGGTGGAGTTCAAGAATTGGCAGATTTTCAGGGCCATAAATGGGTTGACATCATCTGTTAGAGTGGTTACTTGGGTGGGACTGTTGTTGATCAGTTGGTACTCAGGTGTGATTGTTGGAATCAGCCCATTCTTATTTGGCTGATTTTCACAGATGAAGAGCAGTTACTGATGGGCTGATTTGCAAAAAAACCATACACACACACACACAAAACTGTTCACCTAGGCAAGTTGATTTTGCTCATTTGAATGAATTTAGAGCCAGTTTTTGTGGCTCTCTTGTTAACATGGTTATGCAACAGTTAGTTTTTTTCCTAGGAGTATTGAAATTGTTTTATTCTCCTTGTAATATTCTTTAACTTGTTCCTTTATTGCATTTCTGGTTAAACTTTTTTGGCAAGATTATTTCATAGCTCATGCTGCATTCTGTTGCATCACAGCGGAAGGCTTACAACAACTGGTTGCCCAACTTTAAGTGATGAGTTGCCGTGATTACAGCTGGTCCCTCTATTGCAAAGTTCCCTGGCAGGCTTTCATCTAGTGGTTTCAACCACTGGTAATCATTACTTGAAACAACTATTTTATTATGGATTCAAAAATTGTGATTTTCTATTACTTTTATTCCTTCTTCATTTATTAGCAGATATTTTCCAAAACAGTGAACTTTCTCTCATCAACTAGGGCTGTTGAAATACCTTGGAATAAGGTTCAAACAAGAAAGGCAGAATAAGTGTTTGTTTTCTTAATTATTTCCAGTTGTCAGAGCCCTGGTTCCCCCCAGTGGAGATGGTGTCCAGTGACTTGAGTTTTATGTTAGCTTTGACTTTTTCTTATTTTACTATAATGAACCCCTGGGATTTAATAATCAGGGTGATTCAGCATTTAAAATAATTGCATTTATTATTTCTAATGACCGAATTGTCCTTTTTTTGACCACTGTTTAAATGTTCTTGTTTCCTAGGGTTTCATCTTTGATAGGCTTTTCTTCCCTTGTATACTGATTTTTCTAGCTGACCTCAGTCTTTTCTATAACTACTCTCAGCATTTTAATTACTCTCAAATTATTCTTTCTTAACTTAACCAGACATCGGACCTGCATTTGCGTTTACTCACCTGCATGGCTCTCCCAAAACATGAAAATACATGACTAAATTTATCTGTTTTGTGTTCTTTTCCTCTTGTTATATTTTCAGTTCCCAAGCCACACACCTGGAAATCATTCTTGATTTCTTCCCTTCTCTTGTACATGCAGGTATTCACCAGATTTCCTCTCAGAGATACTTCACTGTCCCAGCTTTTCCTTTGCATTGCACTGCTTACAGTTCTCAGACCATGGTGGTCCCTTACCTACACTATTGGGTCAAAGCTCCTAAGTAGAATGCCTACAATCTACCACTGCTCCCTACTCTAGATCATTCTATACTACCCTTGTAGTTACCTTCTTGAAAATAAATTTGGTCACATTAATCTACAGTTTAAAGACCTCTGCTAAAGGCACCTGGGTGGCTCCGTTGGTCAAATGTACCACTCTTGGTTTCAGCTCGGGTCATGAGCTCATGGTTCTTGGGTTCAAGCCTCACATCAGGCTCTGTGCTGGCAGAGCCTACCAGGGATTCTCTCTTCCTTTCTCTCTCCCCCTCTCCCCAGCTTGCGCTCCCTCTCTCTCAAAGTAAATAAATAAACTTGAAAAAAAAAAAAAAAGACCTCTGCAGGGTGCCTGGGTGACTCATTCCTTTGGGCGTTGGACTTTGGCTTGGGTCATGATCTCACAGTTCAAGAGTTCGAGCCCCACATAAGGCTCTGTGCTGACAGCTCAGAGCCTGGAGCATGCTTCAGATTCTGGTGTCTCCCTCTCTCTTTGCCTTTCCCCCTCCCCCACCCTTCCTACCCCCGTGCTCATGCTCACTCAATCACGTGCATGCTCTCTCTCTCTTTCAGAAATTAATAAACTTAAAATAATTTTTTAATAAAAAAAAAAGACCTCTGCTATATCCCTATTACCTAATATGGCAGTATTTTCCCAGATTTGTTTGGTAAAACCCTAATTCTACAAGATATGAATAGGTATTTTCTGAAAAGGAGGTACTGGAAACAAATATTTAGAAAAATAATGATTTCCTTACTTTAGATTTTTCAGCCTTTTATGTACAATGTATTTTACTCTATGTCTCCAACAGGGATTATAAAAGGTAGCATTCCACAAATTCATTAGGTTATGAAATATTTTTATTGTTGCTGAGCATCTAGAGAGATTAATGTTATTTAGTAAAATGTTAGGGGAACACTGGCCAAATGAATAAGTTCTCAACCTTTAAATTGCATTTAAGGCCTTTCACAGTCTCTCATGTTAAATTAGATATCCCCTGCTGTTCTCTTAGCAGTCTTCCCATATGTCCTTCTGAATTTGTCTCTTAACATACTAGGGTTATCTATCTCCATCTTCCTCACTGCCTGTGGGGGCCTGTCTTTATCTCTGCTTCCTCAGCACTAAGCAATATCTGGCACCTAATAGCTCAATAACAACTCACTGAATAATAAGTGGATCTATTTCTGAAGTAGAAATTTCTCTGCTAGCCATTTCCCCAGCTCTGTTATTATTTTCATATTGATGGGATCAGTGGTTGCCTTAATTTGTAGGTTAGGAAAAAGAATAAAATTATATCTTAGAGCTGAAACTGACCTTCAAGCTCATTCAGGCTGATGGTTTTGAGACTGTGTCCCACATACTCTTAGGTGTTGCGCAGACCCCTTTCTCACCAGCTCCTCTTCCTTGTGGGGCTAGTGAAGGGAATGGGAGGAACAAAATAGGTATGTGAAGCACATGTTCTTTGAGCAGCTTTAAATAGTGGATTTCTAGGGTATCTGAGTGGTTCAGTCTGTTAAGCGTGCTCACATGTCAGGGCCTGGGGCCTGCTTCGGCTTCTGTGTCTCCCTCTCTGTGACTTTCCCCTGCTCACGCTTTGCCTCTCTCTCAAAAATAAATGAACGTTAAAGATTTTAAAAAATTAAAATATAGTGGATTTCTTAAATTCTTTTTGAGAAAAAGTTCCAAAGGTATGGTTTGAGAGCCATTGATCTAACAGTCAACCTTTGCTTATGAAGAAGTGGTAACAGACCCAAGGGGATTGTCTTTTTGCAAGTTCACAAAGTTCTTAGTAACAGTGCCAGAACTAAGATTTCAGATCTTCTTACTCTCACAGTCGTGTTTTTTGCAAAAATCTGAAAAATGGAAAAGTTTATTAGAAGATTATGGACTAAAATTCTATTAAGTGTTCATACAAAAACCTATACACGGATATTCATAGCATCTTTGTGGTAACCCAAAACTGGACAGAGTCCAGGTGCCCTTCCACATGTAAATGGATAAACGAAGTGTGGTCCATCCATGTCATGGAATACTATTCAACAACTAAACGGAATGATTTATTGATATAGGCAACAACTTGGTTGAATCTTGGGAAATTTATGCTGAGTGAAAAAAAGGTTACATGCTTTATGATTCCACTTACATAACATTCTTAAAATGACAAAATTATACAAATGTAGAGTAGATTTGTGATTGCCAGAAGTTAGGAATTGGAGAGGGAGGGAGGCCGGTATAATCATAAAGGGACAGTGATAGTGATTAACTGTTCAGTGTCTTTACTGTGGTGGTGGATACAGGAGCCTATACTTGTAATACAATGGCAAAGGACTAAACTTACATGTACACATACACACACACACAGTGAGTGCAGTTAAAACTAGAGACATCTAAATGAGATCAGTTGATTGCATTAATGTCAATATTCTGGTTGTGATAGTATACTCTAGTTTTATAAGACATTGCCAATTGGGGAAAAACTGGGTAAAGGGTACACAGGATCTGTCTGTATTATTTCTTACAACTTAGTATAAATCCACACTTATATTAAAATGAAAAGATTAAAAGTTTAAAAAATAAAATACAGATACCTCCAAAAATAAAATGTTATTATGTGGATTTATTATTTAGAGCCAAACTTGGGATGCCACAGTTTTTGAGTCCCGAAGCCCAGAGTCTTTTACGAATGCTTTTCAAACGAAATCCTGCAAACAGATTAGGTAAAATTTGTAATTAATTTGTTTCTTTTGTGTGTTTGTTGATATTTGGGATTTTTTGGCAGTGGGAGGTGGATACTTGTTTTTGTTGTGGAATTATGACAGGGCAAATATTAAAAGCAAAGGCTAAATAAACTATATATTCCTCCTTGAAATAAAAATACGATTTAATCAAAAATTTTAAACCATTTAATTTTTGATAGGTGCAGGACCAGATGGAGTTGAGGAAATTAAGAGACACTCGTTTTTCTCAACAATAGACTGGAATGTAAGTCTAGAATGAAAATGTGCTTGATTTTTTTTTTAATAATTAACGCATATCTAAGTCTCTCCTTTTTCCTCTAGAAACTGTACAGAAGAGAAATCCATCCACCTTTTAAACCTGCAACTGGCAGGCCCGAAGATACTTTCTATTTTGATCCTGAGTTTACTGCAAAAACTCCCAAAGGTAAGGCGAAAGTGTGAAAACTCAAATGTTAAGACTGTATATACGTATATAACTCTTTATGCTGTCCTCACACCTCTTCTTCCTCCCATTTCCCTCCTATAGTAACTAGGTAATTAGAACATCCTTTACAATATTTGATAGCAGTTAAGATCCTTGTTAAACCTTATAGCAAATTATGGGGGCACCTGGGTGGCTCAATCAGTTAAACATCCAAGTTTTGATTTTGGCTCAAGTCATGATCCCAGGGTTGTGGGATCGAACCCCCCAGCAAGCTCTGTGCTGAGTGTGGAACCTGTTTAAGATTCTCTGTCTTTTAGCAAATTATGTTGTGCCTTAAACTTTGGTACTATTTATGTGAAAAAAATTACTTGGTTGTGCTTTTCTATACCTGTAGCTGTTTTTACTTGAAATACTATTCAGTATGGATACTGCTCTTTAAAACTCTAATATTAGGTACAATTCTGCAAGTACTTGTCAAGTTTAAATCCAAAATATAGCTTAAACTTTATATGAGATATGATCATTTCAAAATAATTCAGGAGCACCTGGGTGGCTCAGTCGGTTGAGCTTCTGATTCTTGATTTCAGCTCAGGTCATGATCCCATGGTTCGTGAGTTCCAGCCCCACATCAGGCTCTGTACTGATAGCATGGATTCTGCTTGAGATTCTCTGTCTCCCTTTCTCTCTGCTGCCCCCCTGCTTGTGCATGCTCTTTCTCCGCGCGCGTGCGCTCGCGCTCTCTCTCAAAAATAAATAGACATTTTAAAAATGATTCATATCCTGTGTCATGCCTTATCCTAGAATTACATTAACAATGACTATTACAGAGAAATTATCTTTGAAATGGTAATCTATATTTATTAGTATGTGTATACACATAAGGGTGTGTTCTGCACTCTAATACTCCCTCATTTAGGTGTACCAGACCCCAGGTTTATCACTGACAAGCATATAAATAAAAAGTATGCTTATGTGTATTTTCCATAGAGCACATCATTCAAACCTTGCTATAAAACTTTCCAGTCAGTATCCTCATAATTTGTGTTATGCATTGATGGATGTTTATTATTTTTATAAGACAGTCTTAGAAGTTTGAATTAATACATGACCAAAATTTTATCAAAAACATAAACAGTGATATGCATAGAATTGATGATAGATGGTAATGTTTTACTTTGCTTTCTCATTACAATGTGTCCTGATAGAGGAAAAATCTCAGAATACTGTGCAATTCTGTATTGTGTTCGGCCCAGATAGTTAGCAGAAGTCTTCATTAGAATATTGTCACATTGATATAAAATCCACTAAACAATATTTATTGGTGAGAATATCAAGCTGATGTTAAAAAAGAACTTTATGCAGAGTTGATGTTTTAAGTAGATTTGCCTATTTGGTTTTTGCCCTTAGCCTTTAGAATATGATGATAAATATTAGTATGCTTAATTGTGTGTTTATGAGTAGTACCTTTGTTATGATTTTTTTGTTTTTATAGTAAATATTATATTTTAAAAGTCGTTTTCTATTTTTGTTAAGATTCCACATAAATAATTTGAATAAAAATAAATGACATGTCATAAGATACAGTTTAAGGACTATATACCATGATTGTCCTAGAAATTACTTTTGATCCTTAAATACATATATATTAAATAAAGTAATTTTTAACTTGTAGTTTAGATTTCCAGATTCTGATGTTGTATATTGAGATCACTGGACTAAATTCCTTTCTCCCATATTATCTGTAGATGAATGTGTATCTCCGCATGACCAGGAGCCATAGCACTGAATTTAAGATTTTGTTTCCCCGTCACACTAACCACATTTCAAATGCTCAGGAGCTGCATGTGGCTAGGGGCTACCATATTGGACAGCACAGATAAAGAAAATTTCCATCACTACAGAAAATTCTGTGGATCATTGCTAATTTAGAATAACATTAGCCCAGTAACTCATCGAGGAACTAGAATGTCAGAGCTGTGATACCCATAAGCCATCAGGACAGAGCTGATGTTTTACTGAGTTATCCTGGAAGCCCTCCATGCCTAAGAATTAAATTCCAGAATTAGTGAGAAAGGTCATACTGTCAACGGTTCTTCCCTTAAGTACCTTCCCACTATTACCTTCTTAGTAATGTATTACTCTTTTCAGACTCACCTGGCATTCCACCCAGTGCTAATGCACATCAGCTTTTTCGGGGGTTTAGTTTTGTTGCTATCACCTCAGATGATGAAAGCCAAGCTATGCAGACAGTTGGTGTGCATTCAATTGTGCAGGTGAGTGAATGTATAAGTAATTTAAAGTTTGAAATGTTGTAAGATAGAGTTCACTGTGTGAATAATTAGATTTGATCTGATTAAAATAAATTTTATACCATTGACATTACTTTTAGAAATTCCTTTCATTTTCCTTTAAAAAGATTGCATGCACTAGAATTCTGGATATCTGTCTGACTTAAAAGGGGAATTATAAGAGAGTTGAGACATCTATCACCATCTTGTCTCCACCCTTTCCTATGCCTTAAAATGTTTATCAAGCCTAGTTTGTTTCATCTTCTGACTCTGTCAGGTCAGCTGTGATGAACTGAGGTCTCCTGGTTCCCTGATGGCTTAAAAGAAGGTTTGGTAGACTTCTTTTCTAAAGGGTCAGTTAATAAATATCTGAGGCTTTGTAGGCTATATGATCTCTGTCACAACCACTCAAATCTGCCATTGTAGCACAAAAGCAGCCATAGACCAGTAGCTAAGTGAATGAGCATGGCTGTGTGCCAATAAAACTTTATTTATAAAAACTGGTAGTGAAACAGATTTGGCCCACAGGCTATAGTTTGCCAACTTCTGCCATAGAAATGTATAAGAAATAAAAGTGAACTTCAGTCTTATGTTTTCCAAGTTTTGTATGCTTGTTCGTTTGGAATCCCCATTACTATTAGGAAGAAATGGTTATAGGTACTACCTTAGGGTGTACCCTTCCTCATTATCCCATCTGTGTATCAGAGTTGGAGAAGGAGGTAAAAGCCACAGAAGCAGGTTTCTAGATGTCTGTGTGTTTGTAACAGGAGACTGGACGAGTAAATTAAATGTTATTTGAGGAACACAAATAGTATAAACCATTAGATTTACTCCTTCCCATTCTAGTATCACGGAAAGATCAATTTAATTCATCTTCCTAATCATAGAGGGAATTCATTATGTCTTTTGAAGCACTGATTGTTTTTTAAGGTACTAATTAGTGTTTGAATTTGCTAGGTGATGAAGTTGCATTTGCTCTAAAGTTTCTTTCATGTGTTAGTCATCTTGCTTTCCACTTTCTAGAAAACCATTTTAAGCACTGGTTTTTAAATGAAGTTCATGGTTGAAATAGTCTGTCCCTTTTACTATAACAAGCATGTGGTGTATGGCAAGTTTTTAAGTTATAACTTCTGTACCTAACAGAAATCACAAACCTACATTCTACAGAATTCACATTTTAACCTATACAAAGCGCGCAGGCATGGGGTGTGGCAGGGGATGCTCTCGTTTCAGTATAGCCAAGAGCAGCACAACTTCCCTCAGCCTACTTATGGAAGCACTCATTTGCTAGCCACCATCCTACCACATGTTATTAGTCCTTACCCCTTGAACAGCTTCTCTCATGGAAGTTACATTGAAGCTCCAACTGGAGAGTAGAGAACAGAGGGCCTGGCTACTGATAGTCCACAATGATGATAATAGGTATCACCTTCAAATATTTTATTTAATCCTCACCATTACCCGCGAAGAAAACACATGTTTTCAGGGTTACATGACCTGCAAGAGATGCATATGAGACAAGAACCCAGATGTTTTCATTCTGAATCCTCCTGAAGCTTCAAACTCCTCCCTATTTGCAGAAGTACTTCAAGGACCTAGCATTGGCTGGGGAGTAAAATAGGGCTCAATCACAGGCAAGGCTTTTAGCTCCTTATCAAGTAACTCTGTGTTTTCTGTTGTACGTATTCAGTGTTTTCTTTTTAACATAAGTTTTTTCTAAAAGCCTATTTTTTGCTGTACATTTTATGGTAGACACTACTAAAATTCACAGTTGTGGAAGAATTAATGCTGTATTCCTTTTTATTTTTGCTGATATTCATTTATTGTTAACATCAACAATGCATACTCAGTAACATATTCCACTATTATGAATTATACCGTAGTCACTGTAAAACTCTTTGTCAATCTATAATTGTGTTTGTAGCAGTTGCACAGAAACAGTATTCAGTTTACTGATGGATATGAAGTAAAGGAAGATATTGGTGTTGGCTCCTACTCTGTTTGCAAGAGATGCATACATAAAGCTACAAACATGGAGTTTGCAGTGAAGGTAAATATTTTTAGGTTTAAAATGAATCTCTAACAGTTCTTGTTCATGCATGTCAGTTCCACTTAAAAATTACACTCTTTGATAAATGGGATTTTTCTTATTTAAAAAAAAAAAAAGGTATGATGAATTTAAATATCTGCCTAGTAAGCTTCAGGGCCGTTAATCTGGAATCATGGATTCACCTATAAACTAAAGGTAAGGTAGTTTGCTCGAGACAGTACAGTGTACACCTGATTTTTAGTAACACCCTTTTACTCTAAAAAGTCCCCTATTTTGTGCTCTGTCAGGGAATTCCTCAAGATGGTATGCCAGATTTTTTGTGTTTACATTTTTCTGGCAAAAAATGTTCATACTGTCCTTCACACATAAAAGGATCTGTGCACTGATAAAAGAATACGCACTATTATAAAATTTGTTATCATCAGCTGTTTTAATTTCATCAAGGATCAAGACAGAATTTTCTAAGCAAAAAACCAAAAGCACATGGCTCTCTGATAAAGTTTGAATTACAAACCTTTAGTTGCAAGTGGAAAAATACTATATTCAAGTTTCTGCCTTTTCACTTCTTGGGATGGTAGTCTCTGCTCTCCCAGTGCAAGCTATTTAATGTTTAAAGCTTTCAGCTTATTTTGGACCTTAGAACTGATCTCTAAGTGTGGGTAGCTCATGTTTAGTTAGTAGGAGAGTGGCATTAATTGTTATTACTTCTGTACATCCATCTGTCTATCCTCTGGATCTAATATTTCACTGTGTAAAAATAAAAATAAATGTCTTTTATATATGCATAGTAAATAACTGGGAAGACACACATACACAAAAAAAATTGTTACTACTGTTGTAAACTTGGATGTAATTGCTTTAAAAGTCATCAGTGTCCCGCCTTCTGTAAGGTGTAAGGATGAACCACAAAAAGGCATTTTAATTTGCTCTTCTATTTATTGCTCATAGTGAAATCTAGGGTACATAGAAATTTTCTCATTGCTTACATGAAAGGAGAGAAGGTGAGTAATGTACATGGTAGTCAGTTTAAGGATGTATCTGGTCTCCATAAACACATCAGAAAAAAGTAAAAATGCCCTCAGGCCCCCTTTGAAATACAGAAACCAGGAGCAGTATACCAAAACCTTGAGAATATCTCCAAGCTATTTGTGGATTCTTGTGACTTAAATTAGATTCATAAAACCAATCCCAGCATAAGTTCATTCTACTGAAATTCCTACAAATCTAAGATCTACAAGCAAAAGTGTGAATGAAATGCAAGCTCTGCTCAGATTAACAGTTCAAAGAGATTGTTGCTAGGAATAACACCTCCCAGTGTGTTCTGGTCTTCAGAAGACTCACCCCAGATCATCTCCCTTGAATTTGCATGTCTATTCAATATACATTCCTCTTAATCATCCATTTGCCTAATTATACACTATCATTTGCATTCGATTACAGTGTATACCTATGTTTGTATTCCTTGTTCTTCACATACAGAACTATTTTACAACTAAATTCATTTCAGATAGCAGATTTGGCTCATAATGTGAGTTGCGAGCTCTTTCCTAGATTGCTGGAGCAATTGAGTTAATTATTGCACACATTAATTACTAAGGCTTTGTAAAATTGAAAATACGAAGGTCACAAAATTTGTTTCAGACTACTCTCTGGACAAAATGAAAGCAAAACGTGTTATCCTTTTAAAAATAAAATATTACTTTAACAGATTAAAACTTTAAGAGATGTATTTTTAAGAAGCAGCTGACATAAAAGGGTTGGAAAGCTGCATTAGTATTTCAAAGGGTTTTATTATAATAATTAAACTTAACTTTAGCCAAGTAAAATTCTTGGTGTGGTTTTCTACTTAGCTTTCTGCCTAGCTTCAAAAATAAGTTTGTTTTACTTAACTCTTAATTAAGTCTTTATAAGTAGCTTGCAACTAATGGGTTCTTCCACTGAAGCATTTTATTAAAGGAAGTAAAGGTAATTCAGTAAACAGATGCTAGTGGTGGTATTATATATACATCTTGTTCTTAATTATCTGTATTGATAGGGGTTAGAAGTTGACTAAATTTCCAAGGGTTTAAGACATTCAAGGATGGAAGAAAGACATGTTCTTGGTACCTTTTCTTGAGACCTTTGAGTGCTTAATAAGTTCTAAACGTAGGCTGGCTTTCAAATTTTGATTAGACAGTGTGGCCAGGGACTTGACTGGTTGACAAATGGCTCATATGTCCAGTATTTACATAAGATAATACTTAAGATCTGTATTTTTAATACTTAAGGTTGGTGACTGTATAGTTTATGAGATTTTATGATAAATATCTGCCTTTTAGATTATTGATAAAAGCAAGAGAGACCCAACAGAGGAAATTGAAATTCTTCTTCGTTATGGACAGCATCCAAACATCATTACTCTAAAGGATGTAAGTAGTAACTTCTTTAACTCCCATCATATAACTCAGTTGTCCAACTCGCCCTGGGGATATTTTCAAATATCATGTAGTGGACAAAGAACTCAATATCGTAAGGTTTTTTTTAAAAAATTGATTGGAGTACAGTATATGTAGCACAACTTCAGCTATAAAGAAAAATATTTTTATACAGTTAATTTTTGTATTTTTGCTTTAAGAGGAAAAGTGTTACGGACATTATTGCTTTTAATGCCTATATTTACTGGAACATGTGGGTATTAATCCGTATTAGAGATTAACTAGTCTCAGGCTCCACGGACTCCCCAAACTCTCTTCCACAGTAGTGCCTGAGAAAGCAAACACTCAGATCTGTTACTTGCCTACCTACAGCTCATAACCCCACTCACCTCCAGTCCTTGCCTTCCTCTGTCTGCAGTAGTCTCCCTCTGTCTTCACACTTCCTCTCATGCCTCACGCTCTGACCAGGCTCTAGTATGTACACACCTTTCAGCTTTCCTCCTTTTCTCATGCTGCTCTGAGTTTATGGTTTCCTCAGTTAACAGCACCACTTCCTTCTTTGCCTGGCTAACTACCATCCGTCCAAACCTTTGCTAAAACGGCACTTCTTCCAGGAGTCCTGTTCTGCGCATCACCACACCCTAGCCAAGTGAGGTATCCTTTCCTTGCTGCCTGTGGTTTTTATCATAACAGAGCCATTGGCAAAGGGTGTGAACTCCGTAGGCAGCATTAAACCTTCTCTTGCTGATGGTGCTCAAGTAGACACAAAGGCCGTATCTGGGTGTCATAGACTTGGTATATCACATGGCACCTAAGCCAGAGAACTTCTGAGGTACCTTTTGCCTTTCATCTCTGAGATTCTGTGAATTCCAAAGTTTATTCTGCCTTTTTCCTTACCAACACTCCAATTTCCTCAGATTAATTTATCACTGCACATTGTTAGAAGAAGAATGTTAACTTAGTCCCATTAAAATGTGAAGCTGCATAACTTAAGTGACTCTTTAATTACTATAACCTCCAAGAATATGACCAACTAAATAAAAGAAGAAGTACAGAAAATTCTTCCTTGACTTGGAAACTCCCTAAGCTCTTACTGTTTTTTACATCTTTCCTCCTTCTTCCATTTCAAATTCCAAGGTCTCTAAAATTTTCCCTGCTTTTATCACAGCATCTCCCAACATTTTTTTTAACTTATTTCTATGCCTGTCTCTCTCTACTAGAATAAAATCATTGAGGACAGGTACCTTGTTTTCTCCATATTTGGGGCCCCAACACACAGTACCTTTTATGGAGCTAAATAAAGGTGTGCATTCCCCCATTAGTGAGGGGGAATAAAAAGAACTGAAGTTTAATAAAGGGGTTATCTCAGTTCGGGATTGCCTGAAGTACAAATCCAAAATTACAATGAGCTTTCTATTTCTGCATTAAGAGTAAACTTGTATGCTTCTATGTGATTAGATGGAATTTCTTTTTGCTGCTTTATCTTCCTACTTAATTCATGCCGCAGCTTGTCTTTCAGTTTAATCAAAACCAGAGTTGATTTGCTGTACTGTTTATGTAAATTGCAGAAGTTCCAGGAAAATCACAGGCATGTGTCTTCATAACAGTCCCCCCTGTCATCAATAGATAGAAAGATCAAGAGAAACAAACCTGAGAGCAAGGGCTCAATACCCCTTCCTATACGATGCCAGTTCTTACTTTGATTGCCATGACTTAGGGTTCACAGAAGGAAATTGCATGTTATTTTTCTGACATTCAATCTAATCAATTCCTGTTTTACTATTCTTACATATATAAAATGGCTTGCAAATTTTATATCCTCTATCAGTTGTGATGAATAAAAGTTTCCTTGACTGTAGACTTTGTTCTGAGCACATGTAAAGCTTAACGTAATTTTTTACATTTTGGTGTTAAATCTTACAGGTATATGATGATGGAAAATACGTGTATGTAGTGACAGAACTTATGAAAGGGGGTGAATTGCTGGATAAAATTCTTAGACAGAAATTTTTCTCTGAAAGAGAGGCCAGTGCTGTCCTGTTTACTATAACCAAAACTGTTGAATATCTTCACGCACAAGGGGTAAGTCTTTTTAACATTTTATGTATACAGATACATGCACACACACACATACACATATATACATATACACACATTTACCTTTTTTTTACATTTTCTTTCTGAATGTTTGAACTAAAATTACAAAAGCAGAAGTTACTTTATGCATTAATGGAAAATAACTACCATTAGCTTCATTATTCTGCTGTTCTTCCTCTACTTAAATTTCTCCCACCAAGTCTGAAGTGCTGCTTTGAAGTCCTAACTTGTTTATATTAAACTCTTATGCTTCCCAAGAAAAAGTGAGTGAGGTCTTCTGACCAGGAAGATGTATCACCGTTTTTGCCAGGCCACTCTGTACTCTTGAGAATTGGGTCCATTGCAAGTTCAGAAGCAGAACCAGAGAATCATGGGTTGTGTTCACTTACAAAAGGAAATTAAGAGAGGCACCTCAGTGACTCTGTGTTTTGAGCGTCTGACTTTGGCCCAGGTCATGATCTACTGGTTTTTTGAGTTTGAGCCCCACATTGGGCTCACTGCTATCAGCTCAGGGCCCATTTGGGATCCTCTCTCCCCATGTCTCTCTCTTTCCCTGACCCGCTCATCCTTTCTCTCAAAAATAAACATTTTAAAAAGTCAATACAAGGGAATTAAGAGACTACTTCTTAAGGAGGTTTTTTTTTTTTTCAATACGTTATTCTCATTTTGTTTGTCTTGGCAGCTAACAAGTGGGAAGTGTCAGTTTCATGCTAGAGCTTCTTGACTTCGAGCTGGTCAAGATTCACTTAGTACACTAGCTCAAAATTAGTGGGACTCCATATTCACTGGAGAATTGATGACTTTGCAGTCATCTAGGTCTTCTGTATTCTCTTCCCATTGCTTCAGCAGTAATTAGTCACTCAGATGATCTGGAGAAGTAATGTTGTCAATGTTAGGAACTAAAACTGAGGTGACTGATTAGAATCTAGACTCAGAATTTAGTGGTAGAAAAAACATAGAAGTCTAATAAGGAATGTCAAGGTTTATGTGAAAAAAGTATTCAAGTAGGTAACTAAAGGGGGAGAAATATTACAAAAATGTAAAGAAACAATATCTTTTAGTATGTGTGACATTGTCACTTGGGTATTAAATAGGCAGTACTTAAAGTCTGGATTTTTTTTTTTCTTTTTACCCCTTAACCCCGTGCCTGTTCCATTAGGCCCGTTGGTGCTTGTTTGTTGTATACATCCATTATACATGCTGTTCCCTCTTCTTAGAATGACTATGTCCCACTGTCCCAGTTTATTTTGATCATGTTACCTGTTTATTCTCTGCCTCCCTCACTACTGTGCAAACTCCTAGCATGGAAAGGCAAGGATCTTATGGGTCTCGTTCAATATGGTATCTGCAGCTCCTTCTATAATACCCTGGCACATGATAGGCATTCAGTAAATAGTTGTTGAATAAATGAATAACCTAGAGACAGTTAATCTTGCTATTTGCGTTTTACCTTAACCTACTTACTCAATGAGACAAAGAGGAGGGAAATACATACTATTTTTACTTCCTCCTTTCCTTGCCCTGGTTCTGTATTAGAGAGTTATGCTTACATTATCAGCATTTTATAATCTTGAGATAATTTAAAGGTCCACACTCACATCCTCTTGTTTAGTACGTTGCTTGAAAGTTTGTGAATAAAGAGTTTTCCATTATGGAAATATATTGTTGTATTGTTAATGTACGTCTTTAATTTGTATTTCAATAGGTGGTTCACAGAGACTTGAAACCTAGCAACATTCTTTACGTGGATGAATCTGGCAATCCAGAATCTATTCGAATTTGTGATTTTGGCTTTGCCAAACAGCTAAGAGCAGAAAATGGTCTTCTCATGACTCCTTGTTATACTGCAAATTTTGTTGCACCAGAGGTAATTGTGAATTATTTGCTTCCAGTATATCAGTATATTTAAAAACTCATTTGCTGTGTTTAATATAGAATAGTTAATAGTTGTTTAATTGAAGACTTCATGAACAAGTAATTAAAATACAATGTCAGCTCTTTTTCTTCTGATGACAGTTCATCCTGTCCTCAGTCCCCTATTTCATAGTCCACTACAATCCTTTTCTTGCCCTGACTTCAGTCTTTCTACATAATCACTCATCTGTAGTGGTCTACTATCATAACACTTTTGTGCTTGTCCGTGCTTAGAATTAAATGGAAACTAGTTTATTCTCATCCTTTCCTAATACCCTTTTAATTTCCTGGTTTTGTCACCATCTTCCTGTATTTCTGAGGCTGAAACATCATGGTCTCTTCTTATCTTTAGCTACATAACCAGGTATCATCTCTTTTATCTTCTAAAACCAGTGTAGGGGCGCCTGGTGGCTTAGTCGGTTAAGCGTCCGACTTTCGCTTAGGTCATGATCTCTCGGTTTTTGGGTTCTTGCCCTGTTTTGGGCTCTGTGCTGACTGCCAGCTCAGAGCCTGGAACCTGTTTCAGTCTGTGACTCCCTCTCTCTCTGACCCTCCCCTGCTCATGCTGTCTCTCTCTCTCTCTCCTAGAAATAAATAAAACATAAAAAAAAAAAAAATTTAAAACCAGTGTAAAGTTCTGTTCATATAACTGCTATCCTGGCCCTGGCTCCTTCACCACGCCCCAAATGACTGCCATGGCCTAGCTTTACCTTGCTCCCTTCCTCATTCTGGGATCATTCCACAGAAGAGCTGCAGCGTTACTCAAGTCTTTTTTCAAGCCCTTCTTTGATCACGTTGCTGCTTTTCCTAAGAAATTTCTGTTCCTCATTGTAGCAAATCTAAAATCCACTTCTTTGCCCTCAAGATTTCTTGTCTTTTTATTATCATTATGTAAAAACACATAACTATGAACTACATAAGAAAAAATAATAGTTAGATCAAGAAGATGTGGTATATTTATACAATGGAATACTACATGGCAATGAGAAAGAATGAAATCTGGCCATTGTAGCAACATGGGTGGAACTAGAGGGTGTTATTCTGAGCGAAATAAGTCAGACAGAGAAGGACAGATACCATATGTTTGCACATATAGGTGGATTAGGAATAAGTTAATGGAGGACGAAGCAGGAGAAGAAGGGGAAAAATAGTTGGGGAGAGGGAAGGAGGCAAACTATGAGAGGCTCTTGAATGCTGAGAACAAACTGAAGGCTGATGGGGGTGGGGAGGCGAAGTGGGGTGATGGGCATGGTGGAGGGCACTTATGGGGATGAGCACTGGGTGGTATATGGAAACCAACTTGACAATAAAGTAAGAAAAGAAAAAGAAAAAATAATAGTTAACCAAGGCACCTAGGTAGCTCACTTGGTTAAGCGTCCAACTCTTGGTTTTGGCTCAGGTCATGTCCTCACAGTTTGTGGGTTCAAGCCCCACATTGGCCTCCATGCTGACAGCCTGGAGTCTACTTGGGATTCTGTCTCTTCTGTTCTCTATGCCCCTCCCCCACTCGTGCACGCTCTGTCTCTCAAAATAAATAAATTTAAAAAAAAATAGTAGTCAAGGGGCACCTGGATGGCTCAGTCGGTTAAGCATCCAACTTCGGCTCAGATCATGATCTCACGGTTCGTGGGTTCAAGCCCCACGTCGGGCTCTGTGCTGACAGCTAGCTCAGAGCCTGGAGCCTGCTTCAGATTCTGTATCTCCTCTCTCTGACCCTCCCCTGCTCACGCTGTGTCTGTCTGTCTGTCTCTCTCTCTCTCAGAAATAAGTAAAACATTAAAAAAAAATTTTTTAATTAATAGTCAACCCTAATATAGGGATTATGTGCCAGTCACATGTATTAACTGATTTAATCCTCACAACATAGAGTTTATATATAATAATTCTTTCTAATTATAACTATGTGAAGTAAGTACTTTTATTCACGTTTTATAGGAAACCAGGTGCACAGTGAAAGGTTACATAATATGTTTGAGGTCAGATCAAGATTTGATCCCCGGCTATATGGCTATAAAGTCTATGCATTTACCATTAGATATTTCACAAAAAATGATAATAGTTGGTAATGTTAGAATGGTTAGATTATGGGGTTAGATTTCCGTCTCTATTTACCAAACTTTTTGTAATTTTACTACTTTGAGGCATAAAATAATACTTTTAAAAAGATTACTTGCACCTGTTCTTCTAGAACTAATGAGGGACAGACTCTTTGCTTGTTTGTCCACATATCCACAGCATCTGACACGTGTGGTATCCAAGCATAGTCACTTCATCTGGCTGTCTCATTTCCCCCCATGAGTGTCTCCTGCTTCAGACAGTCAATCTCCTTGAAATCACCATGTAGCTGTTCTGCCTTGGCACATTGAATGTTTTTTGCTTCAAAGCCTCTGAATTCATTGTTTTCAGGAAATCTTCCATAATTAAACTCTCTTTAGACTTGACCTTTTAACTCTTTGTCTCCTACTCACCACTTAGTCATCCAGGTTAAAACTTGGAAGTCCTGCTGAAATCCTCCTTCTCCATCATTTCTCCACATTCAGTCGGTCACCAAACCCTTTCCATTCTGATTCCTAAATATTTTAGACCTCTTATTCTTTACCGTCTACATCCCATCTGTACTAAAGTGTTCCTCTTTTATCTTTTTACATCTCTTTCTCTCCATGTCCTGCCTTAGTGTGGTTCCTCACAGCCTTTAACTTAGTTTGCTATGTTTCCTGTCAATTGGCCTTTTTTCCAGTCTGTCTTCTTAGCAGCATTTCCTCTATACCTTGAGTTATCCTTTTGGTGTATACATCTACTTATTTTATGTCTCTGTTTAACGCTTCACTGACAACTGATTGCCTTCAGGAAAAATATTTTAATTCCTTAACAAGATATTTGTAAAAGCCCTTCATTCTCTCTTATGTACCCTACCTGGAGATCTGGCCACACTGAATTCTTGCCTGTCCTTAAGCATGCTCTGCTCTCTTCCTTCTGACCTTTGAGTGTCCTCTGCCCTCCCCAACCTCTTCCCTTTGTCTCCTGAATTCTTATAGGCCCAGTACAAGCAGGCTGCTCCCTAGCCTTCTCTCCACGTATCAAGAATGAATTGTTTCCTCATCTTTATACTCAGACCATTTTAGATATAGTTTTGTTATGATACTTACTATGTTGAATTACTAACTTTATATTTATTTATTTATTTATTTATTTACTTACCTCCCCTGCCATATTCTAATTTTCTTAAGGTAACCAGAGTGTTTTGTATTTATCACTGTTGGTGCCTAATAATAGTTGATTACTAAATGCTCAAGTGAGTTATGTTATATATGTAAAAGTATAATTTTGCATTATATCATTTGTACTTTTATATGTGTTCTTTTTTTAAAATGTATATCTATTTTTGAGAGAGAGAGACAGAGAGAGCGAGAGAGAGAGCGAGTGAGCAGGGGTGGGACAGAGAAAGAGGAAGACACAGAATCAGAAGCAGGCTCCAGGCTGAGCAGTCATTGATAGTTTTCTGTATGCCGCAGCAGCACTCAATAAATGGTAATTCAAATACCAAAATTAAATTTTATATATATATGAATTATTAGTCATAGAATATTCTAGAGTAGAGTTAATATATTGCCTTATTTGTTAATCATGTTCTTTTCAGGTTTTTCTTAAATGCCTTGATATAGAAGGTACAATGTAGTTCATAGCCTATTCACATCTCTAAAGTGAACAGTGGTGTGTTAATATTAATTTTTACTTTTTCTAGGTTTTAAAACGACAAGGCTATGATGCTGCTTGTGATATATGGAGTCTTGGTGTCCTCCTCTATACAATGCTTACTGGGTGAGTGGATCATAAGTTGTAAGCATTTATTCATCAATATTTTCTTCTAATTATCTAGTTTTGTTTTTTTAATCTCTGCATTGTAATAACATTCTTTTCATGTTTTCTCCTGTCACTTAGTGATACAGTCCTGTATGTGTGTGTGTATGTGTGTATATATATTTATAACTGTATCATTACTGATTTTCTATAATGTACCATTTATTAATGTCTTAAGGTCTGACCTTGATTTGTTCCATACCTTTTTAATACTCTTATGTCATAAATATACACTACTTTAAATACTTTATTCTTATGTGTCATATCTTAAAATACTTATATTATCATATATTAAGTCTAGTTAATATTTCATAGCTTATACCTTGAACTGGTGCTTTATGGAACTTCATGATGTTGATGTTTTTTACTTTTGGAGATTTCAATGAAGTATTACATTGAATTACTCAGAGTACTCTTGGATACTGCAAAGAAATGTGAAGATTACCAACCAAAAAGAAACTTTATTCATTAACTTTTTAATTTTATTATAAAATAGTTACACTCCATTTGCAAATGGCCCTGATGACACACCAGAGGAAATATTGGCACGGATAGGCAGTGGAAAATTCTCACTCAGTGGTGGTTATTGGAATTCTGTTTCAGACACAGCAAAGGTAAGTATGGCTTCCTTTTAGAAGCTTTTGAGAAAATAATTTTTCATAATCCCTAGGGGGGAAAAGCTTTTGTTATGAAGTAGTTAAAAACTACTTAAAAACAAAACTTTTGTTTATGAAATAATATTTTGAAGTGATGTAACTAAATAACTTGAACTCACAAATGGACCACTTATTTTGTATAGAAAGTATTGGTTTGGCTTTATTATCCATCTAAAACTACTTCTTACTTACAAATATGCTGAATAATAATAGTGGTAGTCTTCATGATTCGTGTTTCTTTTCTGTGCCTCATGCTGCACTTCTCCTAAATCATCCCATCTAATCTTAACAAACCCTGTAAAATAGGTGGTAGTATCTCCATTTCACAGAAGGAAAGCAAGGCCCAGAATTTTGGTGTGAATTTGTTCTTGGTTACCTACCAGCTACGTGTGGTTGCTTCTAATCAAACAGTTGATTCCAAAGCCTTTGTTCCCTAGAATAAACCATACCATGTTCTCTTTTTGGTCATATTATGTAGAAAGGGGTCTCATCTTGTTCACAGTAAACAGTAGTATAGTTTCGTAGTATCTGCTTGAAATGCACTTGATTATATGGAAACCAACTTGACAATAAACTATGTAAAAAAAAAAAAATGCACTTGAAACGCCTTTCTTCCTGGAAGATCCGCCAGCCTCTGGCTGACTTGCTTTCCAACTCTGCACTACTTCCATTTTATTCATGGAAAGTGCTCTTTTAAAAAGAAGAGCAAACAATTTAAAAACTAAAAAGAAAAAGAAGAGCAAAGTTTTCCACTTGCAAGTGAGAAAAACGTACAGGAGACAAAGAAGATAATTACTGGTAAAAGTGCTTGCTGGTTTCTCTTGGAGGTGGAAGCTTGAGTTGAGACGATTGCATAAGCAAATAGGGTATGTAACAAATGTAGATTGATACTTTTGGCATAGAGATGAAGCCTTTGTTACCCAATTTAATGTCTATGTAGATAATATTTGGCTTTATAACTGATTTAAAATGAACTGTTAGCCTTTCCCTTTTTTTAACCATAAAATTTCTTAAACTAGTTGATTCGTTTTTCTGGGATTTCTTTTTCATCCATGTATTGAGCACCTACAACCTGCTTAATAAGTGAGGGTCCAGGGATAAAAGATGTGACTGAGATAGAATTCCTGATCTCAAGAAGCTCACAGCTAGTTGGGAGATGGCCAAAAGCCTACAGTACAGTGTCATGTGTGCTGTTACACTGGTACATTTTTTGTGTTAAAGAAGTTCACAGATGGTGCTCAGTCAGAAAGATTTCCAGGAAAGCTTTCCAGAAGCAGTGAAGGGATTTTCCTGGCAGCTTCAGGGAGCAGAAGGATGTATTCCATCCCAGGCTGAGAGAGCAGCACACGCTATTTGTGCTCATGACAGCCTGAGCATGGCAGAACGCCTCCAGGTTGCTGTGCACCATTTGATGTGACTAGTACAGGATGCACGTGAGAAGATAGCTGGTGGACCCAGATTGTGAAAGGCTTTCTACAAGGTTATGCTCAGGATTTTCAGTTTATTGGAAAACTGTTGGAAAATATTAAGCATTTTCATGATTACATTTTCCTTTTTTAAAATGTTTGCTTATTTTTAAGAGAGAGAGAGAGAGAGCAAGGGAGGGGCAGAGGGAAAGGGAGAGAGAGAATCCCAAGCAGGCTGTGCTGTCAGGACAGAGCCCACCATAGGGCTCGATCTCACAAACCATGAGATCATGACCTGAGACGAAATCAAGACTGAGTCTTGATTCAACCAACTCAACCAGCTGAGTCACCAGGCGCCCTGGAGATTTTCTTTGTTTAAATTTATTCTGTGGAGGAATAATTCTTATCCATGGAGTCTGCCACAAATTGTCATGATCAGTTGTGAGGCATATCGAGTAATGTCACTGCTTGCTTTTTAAATAAATTCTAGAGATAACCTCAACTTGCTCTAATTTCAGTAATTTGGTTCTCAATGACTTGCATTCCAGTATGCTGTTTTGAGTAAAAGAAAAAGGTGAGATAAAAATAGGATCTAACTCACAGGCTTTCTTATAAATGTCACGTTATTACTAATAACTTTCCCTAATTTGTCCAGTTAAGACTTGAGATTGTTGGGGAGCCAACAATGCTTAACAATGCTCAGTCGGTTAAGCATCCGACTTCACTCATTCATGATCTCATGGTTCGCGAGTTCGAGCCCTGCGTCAGGCTCTGTGAGGGCAGCTCAGAGCCTGGAGCCTCCTTCAGATTCCGTGTCTCCCTGTCTCTCTGTCCCTCCCTGCTCGCGCTCTCCTTTTCTCTATTGAAACTAAATAAACATTAAAAAAAAATAAGAAAAGACTTGAGATTGCAAGCATAATGTGATAAGTGATAAGTGAATATACCCACAAAATTAGGAAGGAGGATTCTATCAATCTGATGTGTCACCTCAAGAGCACATTGCACATGTGAATGTCACCAGTCATATGGGCCATATGTGTCATATGTGGCTTTGAGAAGAACAGGACCGTTTACTGGGCACTTCTGTGCCAAGGACTATTCTAACGCTTTTACCTACATTATTTCATTCATTACTCACTGACTTAATATTAGGGACTTTACTTGTAAGGTTTTGCAGTAGTTCAGGTCACGAATAATGGGGATCTACGCTAGAGCAGGTATAGCAGGATTTGAGCCAAATGAAAGAGAAATTTAGGAGGCAAAATAGATTTGGTGGTTAATTGGACATAAGAAGCAAGGGAGAAGCAGATAGCAAGCATGTAGTCCCTGTTTCCACATCAGGCAAACGAGTAGGGTAGTGGCGTCCTTCACCAAGATGTGGAATACAAAAGTAGTTTTGAGAGAAGTGTTGCTTACAGATTTGGAAGTTAGGAATTTGAAATGTGACTGTGATATATAGTTAAGGGATGTATGTCCATCAGGCACCTGGCCATATGGATGTAGATCTTAGGAAGAAGTAGAAGTCTCAGATGGACTGTGGAGTTAGAAGTTGTCATCATCTGTAGTAGCTAAAGCCATGAGCACAAATGAGCTGTGTGAGCAGTGATGAGAGCTATGGAAGGAATTCAAAGGAGCCACCACCATTTAATCAGAAAGCTTAGGAGGAATAGCCATTGAAGAGTAACAGAACAGGAGAAGTAGTTCTCAGTGACTTGGCCCAAGTGCACTGCTTAAGGCACAGATCTGATTAAAATTATAGTAGAGTTTTGTCGTGTCCCTCAGCAGTTCTGCAACCTTTTAGGTTCTTGAAGCACATTATCCCACCTTAAGAACTTGGAAGGGGAGATGCTGATTGTTTCACTTTTTATTTCTAATTCTGTTCAGTAGCTTATTCCTGCTCTTAGCTGTTAATGAAAACTCAAAATAAGAAACTGTTAATATCTAATAGCAGAGGAATCCTTAGAATAACATCTCAGCTCCCAGTATACAATCAACCACCTGGTTCTTTTTTTTTTTTTTTTNAAGAAACTGTTAATATCTAATAGCAGAGGAATCCTTAGAATAACATCTCAGCTCCCAGTATACAATCAACCACCTGGTTCTTTTTTTTTTTTTTTTTTTTTTTTTTTTTTTTTTTTTTTTTTTTTTTGAGAGAGAGAGAGACAGCGTGAGCAGGGGAGGGTCAGAGAGAGAGGGAGTCACAGACTGAAACAAGCTTCAGGCTCTGAGCTGGCAGTCAGCACAGAGCCTGATGCGGGGCTCGAACCCATGAACCGCGAGATCATGACCCAAGCGAAAGTCGGACGCTTAACCGACTAAGCCACCCAGGCGCCCCTCAACCACCTGGTTCTACTGTTTCTTGCTTTTAAGTACCTCAATTCCATCCATATTTCTGCATCTCTTATACTGCCCTGAAGCCATCAGCTCTTGCCAGTCTCAAATTAGAGTCTCCAAGCTTGCACCCTCCAATCCATTTTCCTCCACACTTAGCATAATCTCTCTAAAGTACAAACATGACTGTATTACTCCTTTGCTTTAAATGATTTCTTATCTCCAAGGACCTTCATGGTCTGGTCCCTTCTTACCTTTCTCAGTTTGTCTGCTGCTACGTTCTCCTTTGCAGTTTTTGTTACAGCCACATTGTAGTTCCTTTCAGTTCCTTAACTGGCATGTTCTCCTGTCCCTGAGGGCTTTCCTTTAAATACACTCTTCTCTGCCTCCCTGAATTGCTGTTTCCCCCTCCTCTTCTCTAATCCATCTCCTCCTCATCCTTCAAGTCTCACATTCCTCTTAGGAAGCCACTCCTAAGCCACAGCACCCTGTTCAGGTCAAGTGTCTCTTTGTTTTCCTTTAGTTGTACCTTTTTATTCATCCCATCAAAGAACTTACTTTTTGCTTTGTAATTGATTCTTTGTCTCTCCCTCACTGGGCTGAAAGCCCCATGAGGTCAGAGTTCATTTTTATCTTATTCACTGTTAAATACCCAACACCTCACAGAATACCTGGCCTTCAGTGGATATTTAGTAGATATATTCTGAATGAAAAATTAAACAAGTTGGAGATGGCTTTTAGAAATCATAACTGTGTTATTTTTTTTTTAATGTTTTTTATTTATTTCTAGGAGAGAGAGAGACAGCGTGAGCAGGGGAGGGTCAGAGAGAGAGGGAGTCACAGAATCTGAAACAGGCTCCAGGCTCTGAGCTGGCAGCACAGAGCCCGACGCGGGGCTTGAACCCACGAACCGCGAGATCATGACCTGAGCGAAAGTCGGACGCTTAACCGACTAAGCCACCCGGGCGCCCCATAACTGTGTTATTTTTGAGAGTATAAAACTAGCAATTATATGGGTCTATACTTTAGCATAGGAAAGCATTTGGATAGATAGAAAGCATTTGTCTCTTGAAGAATGAGATTCTGGGAGTTCTTAATGTTCTTTTGCTTCTCCCTAGTTCTGACTTTTTTTTTTATAATGCCTGTGAGTTGCTTATAAAGTGGGAAAAAAATAAAAATAACACTAATCTGGGGTTCCTGGTTGGCTCAGTTGGTAGAGTATGCGACTCTTGATCTCAGGGTCGTGAATTCAAGCCCTGCGTTAGACATGGAACCTACTTTAAAAACAAAACAAAACAAAACAAAACTCTAATCTTTTGAAAGGGGCATTTGGAGCCCTCCAATTAGATTCCTATTATTAGGCAGTTATGTTCTGCTTTTCATTATTACCAGCAGCACAAAAAAGTCTATAGCTAAAAATTGCTTAGAAATAAACCTACAGGGGTGCCTAGGTGGCTCAGTTGGTTGAGCTTCCGACTTCAGCTCAGGTGATGTTCTCCTGGTTCACAAGTTTGAGCCCCGTGTCCAATTCTGTGCTGAGAGCTTAGAGCCTGGAGCCTGCTTCAAATGCTGTGTCTCCCTCTCTCTTTGCCCTTCCTCCGCTTGTTTTCTCTCTCTCTTTCTGTCTCTCTCAAAAATAAATAAAACATTAAAAATTAAAAAATAAACCTACAGAAGTGTAGAAAAATCAGAATATCTAGGTAAAAAAAGAGCCAAAGGACTTAAAGATACATAAATGTGGTGAGCTTACTTTTTCTAATGCACCAAAATTACTGTTTCTCAGGGAAGAGAAAAACAGAGAAACAGAGACTTAGGTTTTTGCTTTCTTTTGTTTGTTTGTTGTTTTAAGAAATTATCATGTTGACCAAATTGCTTTGAGCCCAAAGTTTTGGTGCCAGGAAAATATAGTGTCATGGAGGCTAAGGAAGAATGCTGACCAGTGCCAAGTGCTAGAGTAAAACAAACAAGAAAGAGTTAAGCTTGTTTTATTATTATTCTTCCCATTCCAGGACCTGGTGTCAAAGATGCTTCATGTGGACCCTCATCAGAGACTAACTGCTGCCCTTGTGCTCAGACATCCTTGGATCGTCCACTGGGACCAACTGCCGCAATACCAACTAAACAGACAGGACGCGCCCCATCTAGTCAAGGTGAGTGGCCTCATCAGGCACCGTTTTCCATGTGTTATGCAGGAGACTCTGAGCTGCCCTCTCCATGCCCACACCACCTTTCCCTTTCCCTCATCCTGCTTCCATTTCTCGAATGGGATTCCTTTAAAGTGAGTAGTGTAGAAAAGAAAAAATCAAGGCACACCAAAATATCATAATAAAACTAGTTTAAGAATAACTTCTGGGGCGCCTGGGTGGCTTAGTCGGTTAAGTGTCTGACTTCAGCTCAGGTCATGATCTTACGGTTCGTGAGTTGGATCCCCGTGTCGGGCTCTGTGCTGACAGCTCGTAGCCTGGAGCCTGCTTCGGACTCTGTGTCTCCCTGTCTCTCTGCCCCTCCCCTGCCTGTGCTCTATCTCTGTCTCTCAAAAATAAATGTTAAAATTTTTTTAAAAAATGACTTCTGAATGCATCATTCAGATAAGCCTATGGATTTCCTACCTTTTCTGTATACTTTACTTTTTTATGCAAAACCCAAAACAAACTTTGAGGTCACCAGCAGTGGCAAAACACAGGTTCCAAAGAGCATGCTTTGCTACCTCTCATATTAAAGGATTGCAAAGAAACAAATTGAATAGCCCTGAGAAAAGTGAGGACTGCTTGTTATAAGTTCATCCTTGTCCTTTCTCATCCATAATTTCAGCCACCCACATCTGCATCTTCAACTTTAGTTAAATCAGAGGGTTTGACCAGTGTGGTTATTTTCGTTATAAGCCCAATTAAATCTGTGTAAATTTTCATATGAAGAAATTGGGAGGGAGGGAATCTCCATTTGATATTCTGTGTACATGTGACTCACCTACCCATTGTCATTTGTGTTGTGACCTTTCTTTCCTGTTTTCAGGGAGCCATGGCAGCTACATATTCTGCTTTAAACCGTAATCAGTCACCAGTTTTGGAACCAGTAGGCCGTTCTACTCTTGCTCAGCGGAGAGGTATTAAAAAAATCACCTCCACAGCCCTGTGAAGTGACCTCAGTGAGATATTTGGTACCATGGTGTAAGCTGATAGCACAAGTTCTGGCGACAGGTAGCACATATCTGAGAGACACCTGCAAGCACACACTGTCCCAGCTGGTACCCATAATGCTGCTGCTCCTGCTGCTGCTCCTGCTTCCGTCTCTTCTCGCTTTAAATGATTGTTAGCAAGTTAGATTTTCCTGGAGCTTCGGATGAAATGAAAATGGAAACGTGATGAAGACATATTCACTGAATCAACGAGAAAAATGAACATATGAATACCACCTAAAAATACACTGAATAAAGTACTCTACACCATATAGCATTATTTTTATAGGAAATATTTCATGTCCCTGAAATATTCTTTGTTAGTTATAGGGATGGACAGTTTATGTTAAGCACTTAGCTTAAACAATCCGTTTCTATTAGCACTGTATCCCTTGTGCCATCCAACATTTTGTATGTTTTTGTAAACAGTTCATATACAGTACATTTCTGTACTGCTTTCTTTAATGTATACATGCTTTGTTTAACTTGGAATCTATTATTATTAATCAATTGACTATTAAATCTGGTTAAATAGTTCACCTGGATTAACAGTATTGTTGGACAGCCCTAAAAATGGCCAGATTGTGGAACAGCTGTTGAATGTAATAACTTCCAAAATGTACATATCTTTCCCCGTGTCTGTTTCACTGGTTCGTTCATTTGTTTGTTTCTTAAAGTCAGGTGCTTTGTCAGACTAACCTAGAGAGCTGTTATGGTAGAGAAAGTTATCACATGTGTGTGGCATGACATCAAGAGTACAACTATGAAGTTAGTCCATATACGTTGCAACTCCTTAGGGTTCTTTTTTCCTTAATTAAGGAAGTAGTTCTTGCACTTTTAATCTTGAATAGTATCCATATTTAGTATTTGGCATATAATTCGGGATTTTGCCAATATACATCAAAGGCCTTTAAGAGTTATGGTGAAGAGATTGGCAAAGGAAAATTTAGCAACACATCATTCAAGTCCCATTGGATCTTTCATATTTAAATAGATGAAGTTGCAGAATTTAGCATATGAATAACAGGATACCTGTTCTTGTATACCTGCAAGAAAAGTATGCTTTTTTTGGAAAAAAGGTAAATCATAATGAGTTCTATCCCATTACCATGCTCTATATTAAACACTAATTTGAATGTAATAAAGGCCACCAGCCTCTATATGAAATTGGATTTAAACTTTCTTATTCGAGGGAATAAAACATTCTTGATCAAACAATATCTGTTCTCACCTGAAATCATAGCTAAGGTAGGCTAAGCGAATGTTCACCATTGTTTGCTGAATTCCTTCTGATGATTTATAGCCATATAATGTTTCCTTTAACTTCAGAAATGATCAGCTTTCATAGTGGTCACTGGGTCTGCTTCCATTACAGTATTCATTATCTACATCTAATCTGGGTAGTTTTCACAATTTTATTTGATTAAGGAAATTTTTGTATCCATTATTACCTGTATTTTGGTCAAGCTATCTACCATACATCAATTTATAATATGAAAAACATGAACAAGGAAAAAGTGGTTTGGCTTAGCCTTATCAAGAATGTGCCCAGTGGATCTTAGTCATCTACTGAGCCATTTACATCAGAAGTCTTTTTTTCCTGCCTGAAGCTTTAAGGCTTCCCTTGAAAGTAAAAAGCCAAGAAAGCATACTTCAGTTAAATGTCTTGGAAGCCACTTATTATTTCTTAATTTCTCCTCTATGCTACTAAAGATAAAGGGAAAATCTGTAACATTAATTTTGCTTAAGTGACACAAAATTATTATCACATAGAAATCAAATGTAAGTTTATCTTCTAAATAAAAAATATATAGGAGGAGGGACTTCAGAAGATCTAGTAGGAGGAAGTTCTTCTTTTTAATTTTTGAGTATATGAATGCTTACTATCAAAAACTGCTTCCCATTGCCTGGAAAGAAAGCTTTCTTTCCTTTCTCTCTCTATTCAGTAGTTCAAACTGTGACCATCCCAAATTCTTGTCACTTGTAAAATGTTAATGTAACTCTGGGCAGAAAAAAGATACATTTGCAATTTTTGGACACTGTTGCTATTCCATAATTGCTTAGGTGTGTTGTCCACTAAGACTATGGTCTTAGAACCAGAAGTAAATGTGTAGTAAATCCTTATAAGTTATCTAGTCCAACTTTCTCACGTTGCATGTAAAGAACCTAAGACCCAAAGCAAAGACTTCTCATTTGGTTTTTTTACCCTCATAATACCACGCTGCCTTCCCCTCATATTATCACCCAACCAGGAGCAGACTTGTTCAAATATATACATATATTTCTTAGGACAATACTCTACTGGTATATGAATGCCAAGTTGATTGCTTTCAGAGATTTTGCCTTCTTTGCCTATTCCAGCTACCAATTTTATTGAAGAAAAGCAAGTCATATGTTCACAAAAGTGAAGGCTTTTGCCTAAAATGAAGTTCATGAGCTTAACTTATTTCATCTGTGGTCTTGGTTTTCCTATTGCCTTTGACTTAGAACAGACAAAGTTGGGCAACAATTGTGCTCTAAATGTAGTGCTTGCACTGGGTTTACCTTTTCATTAATTTCTGAGTCCAGTTCCTCCAGACCCTTCACCAGTTAGTTCTGCTGGTTACCAGGGCTTTTCCCAGAAAGATTTTAGTTCAGTCTTAAAGATATTTCAATGTGAAAGAAGGAAGGAAACTGTCAGGTCACTTTTACAAGCCCCCTTTTAGCTTATAATCCAAAATAATATCTAAAATTGAAGATTGCACTTAACTTTGCCAAGCACATGCTGAAAAATATGGAATACACTACCATGTGTTTTGTATCTTCCCTTTCAAGTGATGATGTTAAGGTAAGTTTTTGTCCTTTTAATTTTTTATGTAAATCATTTCAGCTCCTAATTTATAGAGATGCCTTTTTCTAAGTACAATAGACCCTTCCTTAACTTTAATGGTTTTGATGTGGATTTGTTTATTCACAAGCAACCCTAGAAGTCCAAAAATGTAATAATTTTGCCACGAATCAAGATGTTGCAAGGTTAATGTGTGGGAAAAGTCACTTAGTGAGTGATGTGGTGTGTATGCATTAGAGATTCACATTTCACATGCCATTGGCTGCAACGTATGGGTTTGGATCAACCATTTCCGACCTAATTTTAAGAAGTAGTTGCTGTTGGGGCCAGGACACATTATGGGAGGTGGGGCTGGCCTGTTTGCTGTGCCCTGTACCCTAAGTACCAGAAAGACTTAAAGGGGGGCGGGGGGGGGTGCAAAGGCTTCATGAGTAAGCAGAATGGGTTGGGTTGGAAAGGGGCTGAGGTAGGTCCAGCCTAGGATGAGAGCAGAAAAGCATTCAAGATTTGGGAGCCTTGGTATAGATGTGCTTAATCACTATGGGAGTCAGCAATACATATCTCAGCGTGACTTTGATGTTCTCTACTTCCTGGCCTTCATAAATGACTGAACAGTTTTCAGCTTGCTTTACCATATCTTATAGAGAAAATTCTCATGGTGATAACAAGCGTTTGTGAGATTTATGAAGGCATTGGGACAGATATCTCAGGAATGTAAAGGGTTAGAAAAGGTCTGTTTTCATTGATGAACAAATGCGGTGGGTTCCGTGGTTGACCCTTGGTGCTTAAACCAAGAGGTTCCAATCTAGTCCTTGAGTTCTGTCCCTCCAAAAGCTTCAACTCCTTGTGACTCACAAACTAGATGGATGCGTTGAGTTGTAGTTAATTCGCAGATAAGTTGACTTAACTCCGTATTTATATTTCAGTTAGTGAAAATAGTCCTCTTTTCACCTCCAGATTGCTTACATTTTGCTGGTTTCCCCAAGTGACCATTGGTGGAGACCAATTAATGAAGGAATGAAATTTGCTTTCTTGGAACTGTGGTATTCTGCAGAGCCACGTTTAACCACTTTTTCTAGTGAAGAATCTACAGAATGATAATACCTAAATATGGATGGCCAAGAACAATTTTATCTACAGTGTGCTTTATGTACTTCTGACACTGCTGTATTTTGTGTGGTCAAGTGACTTGTAACTGGTTCCAGTGTGACTGAGTGTTCTCAAAGAATTCTGGTAATTAAGTCGACTTAATTTTCTTAAGCCTTGTATTACTATCAGTCTCACATTTACCACTTTGATTCTAGTCTTTTAACTGTTCATAACAGGGCATACCAAGGGTTGGGATGAGAGTCTATTTCCTACCTCTTAAGGCACTTTCCTCATTATTTTGCCATATAACCTTGAAGTGCATGATAAGCTGTTTAAATGTCCATGACTTCTCCCAGAGCAACTAGCAAAGTATATGACATTGAATAGAGATTAGTGGAAAGGAAAACTTAGAGACTAAGTTCAGAGATGCAAACCTCAAGAAAACCTCTTGAGAGCGCGTACCATTTGAATACGAAATATGTAAATGTATGTGAGAGGAGAGTCTCTGTAATAGTCTAAGTAGATTAGTTCATTATCTAACGGAAGTGAAAATCTTTACTCCTATTATCACTATAGTACTGAATGAACTGTATACTGAGTTTTTCAAACAAGTATTTAAAGTAGAACTTTCAAATACAAAGCAAGGGCATAAGGATAAAGGTTTTGGTTTATGTTTCTCAAAGTGTAGTTTACCATCTAAAGCTTTTTTTTTTTTTAAATGTGTAATTGCCATTCCTTAGCATCCTTAATAATTGTGGGTGATGAGTTTTTAATTCTTAAAATTATGTACATGTGTTAGGTTTATCTTAACTCTTACCCTGAGCAAAAGGGAAGGTATATGCCTAAGGGTTGTAATTATTTTGCATTTCTGGCCTTGGGTGGGAATGGGGTGGGCATCTACTTAAACAGTTTTTAAAAAAGAAAAAAAATCACAAGTATTTTTCTACTATTATACATGATCTTACTTTATACTAGTTTCTCTCTAGTGAGGCATGCGAGAAGCCCAAGGTACCTTATCATGAGTTCCTATGTATTGTACCTTTTATCGGTGGTTAAATCACATCAGATGCTTGGCACCTGCTGCCATAATTATGAAATGCTTGTAAAGGATCAAATATCACTGAATACTTTAAATTGTTTTACTTAAGAGTTTAATCTGGGAAGTTTTCAAATCATACTATTAGTGTGTAATCTAAGCTCTTTCAGATGTATCCATGAATAATCCTGGAACAATATTGCTTGTATTCCTGTCACAGAACAGGTTTTGTAATCTTTAAAAGAAATGAAAATTTATATAATAAAGTTTCAAATAAATGCATGTATGTCATTTATCAAGTTATTTCAATTATATAATTAATCCTTCATATTGCCAAATTCTATCCAAAGTATAGTATCAGTCCAGATTGGATTGATAGAAATTAAAACAGGAATGTTTCTGAGTTAATAAGAAGTGCAAAATAATTTTTGTATGCAAAGTCTTGGTTAGCCCAAAGAGTGTCACATCAGACTCATAAGTTATAGATCTTACCCAGTACCAAACTGGAGTAATGATTCAAAGGATACAGAGGGATCGGTTGAAACCGGCTTTTCTTGGAGAAGTCCAAGATTATCAGACTTAGCTCCAAAATACCCTTTTCTTCCTCATTATGGTACATTTTGGACTCAGAATTAAAGGACAAGTTTCCTTCCGAGCAATGTATGTGGAGACATTGTTTAACTCCTTTGGTTTTGCAACATCTTTTTTTTTTTTTTAATGTTCTTTATTTATTTCTAGGAGAGAGAGACAGCGTGAGCAGGGGAGGGTCAGAGAGAGAGGGAGTCACAGACTGAAACAGGCTCCGGGCTCTGAGCTGGCAGTCAGCACAGAGCCCGACGTGGGGCTCGAACCCACGAACCGTGAGATCATGACCTGAGCGAAAGTCGGACGCTTAACCGACTAAGCCACCCAGGCGTCCCTGCCACATCTTTTTTTTTTTTTTTAATGCCTCATTAATTGCACAAATGATGAGCCCTCATTCTCCAGCCAACCATGCTTCATAAATCCAGAAGTTCCAGGTTTTAGAATAAGCCATCTCTGTACACCAAATGTATCTTACTAAAGGCATTTTGGAGATAAGGACTTCTCATTTTCTTTCTGCGAGTAAGTATTGGCACATTTAAAAGGAAAGTTGATTGGGGGCGCCTGGGTGGCTTAGTCGGTTAAGCGTCCGACTTTCGCTTAGGTCATGATCTCGCGGATCGTGGGTTCGTGCCCCGCGTCGGGCTCTGTGCTGACTGCCAGCTCAGAGCCTGGAGCCTGTTT